TTTCACGTTGAGGTTTTGCCATTTTAGTCCTTCAAAGCACAACTCGGTTATATCATTCAAATGTTAACATTGTTTATTGCAATGAAATGTCATCTCAAATCACCGTCCCACGCTTTGTACAACAGCCTAACCAACACTTGTATCAAACGGCACACGACGTGCTGAAAAAGTGTTTGAATAACATTTTACCATCACAGGCTGGAATATGGATTGCGCCCATGTCATGCACTATTGCTCGTTGGAAAACTGTTCTTGGCGCAATTTCCCATGATAGCCGGGGCTGCGGTGCAATGCCAATGCACGCATATTACACAGATATTTATTACCACTAAATCACACCAGTGATTCGATTGAACTAGCCAATATCGTGCATGACGTGCAATGTGCATCATGGGTGGTAACCGCGCCCCATGTGTGGGCTCATTGGCAATGAGTTCCGCTTTCCGAGCTCAGCATAAAACGGGAAGCTGGTGGAAGCTGTTGACATTCTACGCGGAGCTGCGGCAGCTGCTTCTGCGGCAGCTATGAAGCTCACTGTGCTGTTCCTAGGGCTGGCAGCTCTGCTGGTGGCAGCCTCAGCTGAGGTAAGTTGAGGGGAGCTGATTTTCATCGTTAGATGAGGCGATCGGTTGCTTGAAGGCTGAAGCCCTATCAATAATGGAACAAACACTGAAGTTTGTTACGTTATTTTGTTTTTCTGAAGTTGAGCAGTGGCCAGTGGGTAAAATCAACCACCCCGCAGCGCTGTGCGTTCGACTGAATACCCCAGCGGACGTTCATAGTTAAATGAGACTATCACATATTTTTCGTGATGTTCTAGAGCTCCAGCTCATGAGCTATATGCCGCTTTGTTTGAAAGCGTCAACATTGGGGAAAATAGCCTCTGATGTCCTCCGGTGTAACTACTTTTAGTCCGATCTAAAATAACTGCAGTATGTTCTTTATGACTTTTTGGCGGTCTCTCGAAAGCCGCTTTACCACGTGCCGTTAGTCACTGCGTGGCCTAGCCCGCGACCTGGTGGGGGGGGCTATTTTTTGCCCCCCCTCCAGACTTTTCGATATATCTCCAGAACCGCTGCGCCGATCGTCACCAAACTTTCAGTACCCTCCCGGACATCAATTTTACACATTGTGACCAAATTTTTTTCCAAAGGCTATGATAGGTTGGCCGGAAATGACGTCAGAGTGACGTCATGTTCTGCCGTTTTCGACCCAAAAAAGGGTTTCGCGGGAAGAGCTGTCAGGCCTATAGCTTTGCAAATACAGAAAAATGACAAAGACATAAAAGCTGTAAATTAGACAGGGCTACAAAACTGCTATCTCGGATTTTTGAAATTTTTTGATTTTGACCCCCAAAAATCAAAAAATAGATTTTTTGAATATAACAATCGAAAAATCCAAAAAGTTTTTTGAATTTCGCAAAAACCGGAATATATGTGATAGCCCTTACCGCCTTCCATCCACATACCAAATTTGAGATTGATACCTCTTTTTTTTGGCGAAGTTATAGCGAAAAAACTGTTCAAAATTGATGACGTCAAATTTTCAAACTCAATTTTTAGCAATTCTAGACCCCGTAGCGCAAAACAAAGACCACCATTAGACTCCCCGTGACGAGCTGCATCGAATTAATACCCATTTTATGCAAAACTATCAACTTTAAAATTTGACCTTTTTTGGCCTGACCTTGACCTGACCTTGACCTGAACTTCACCAGAAAGTGACCTAAGCCGTACCTGATAGTCTTATAACCAACACCATTGAGTTAGAAATGAAAAATTGGCCATAAAACATGTATCACACAACCTTAGTAAAGTTGGGCTCATGTGACCTGACCTGTGACCCTTGGTGACCTGACCTGTGACCTGACCTGGTATTGCCAGTGACCTCTAATAGCAACATATCTACTAGGCAACTGACGCCCTACCGCTGATTCTTTGTTTGTTTGTTTGTTTTTTTTTTTTTTGTTTTGTTGGGTTAGGCCCTTTCGGTCGACAAGACCATTGCAGAGCCGGAAGGATGATAGGAATTAGGGGGAGACATTGGTCTGGGCAGGCATCCTAGTGAGTCGCCGGGGCTGAGCCCGTCCGAAGACAGGCCGCCCAGCCCCAAGGCACTCACTGCACCCGGCTACGGGGTGCGCTCCCTCGGGAGCAGCGGTGCCGCTACAAGGGAGCAGCCCGCATGAGATAAAGTTGCCTGTCCAGCCCGGAAGGGGGTTGTGGGGTGGAGGAGAAGGATTTCAGTATCCTGAGGATAGAAGCACGGATAGGTGTGACCGCTGATTCTCGACAAAATGCGTTTTCCTCGGTGTTATAGCGCATTCCCTAGAAGACCCGTGAACGGTGAAACATTTCATCTTTGACCTGACCTGTGACGTCATCGGTGACCCCGAGGTCAATGAAATTTGGTTTCCTTCGACAAATTTGACAGGCCTTTCGAACGCTTTTTGAATTTTGCGGATCCGTCCAGTAGTTTCGGAGATACGAGGGGGGGCCAAAAATAGCCCCCCCCCCCCACCAGTAGAGCACTTCACGGATAGGCTTTTTAGGATCCGGCCCGGCCCATATCCGGCAAGTCATATCCAGATCCGCCCATTATCCGCCTTTCTTTGAATATCAGAATCCGGCCCACCCATGGCCCGTATTGCAGCCAAACTTCCAAAAAATATCCGTAATAATCCGTTTCACCAATAACTGGTTTCACCCAAAACTGGACTAACAAATTCAATCTAAGGGACCAGACAGCCATACATCTCACAGACCATCATGGTTCCAAAAACCATGCTTATAAACCTAAAACCACATGAAAATCACCACATTGGTAAACTAGGTATCATCCTTCAATAGTAATACACAATTTCTCTAAGAAGTAAGAAGATAGGGAAGTTCAGGTCATCAAATCCATGTATGGTGGTAGTTAGTGAGTTACAAGTGCCCAACAGATATTACATAATTGTAATACCGCCCCATGCCCACTATCCACATCCCAGTCTTTACTCACCCACACGCAAAGTGCAAACTTCAGTGACTCCAGAAACTTTAGTGACTTGTTTCATAATAATTCTTATTCCATTCGGAGCTGACAGTCCCCCAATATGCGTGGTTTTTTCATCTAAGAATGTTAGATTGTCATTGCTACCTCGTATTTGTACCACGTATGTTCACATACGAAATGACAAGAAACGGGACAGGCTCATAAAGAAAGAACATTAGGTTAATTTTTAACTTCAATGTTGAATGTTAAAATTTTGATCCGTTTTGATCCGGGTTCAACCTTCAATTCCCAAATCCGGCCCGCCCATATCCGTTATTTTTTAACAAATTTAGAATCAAATCCTATCCGGTCCGCGGATTTATCCGTGGATAACGGATTTATCCGGCCCATGAAGTGCTCTACCCACCAGGTCGCGTTATAAACAGACCCCACCAGGGCGCGGGCTAGGGGACGAGCATAAGGGTACGAGAATGCTTCATTCCCCGACTAGATGTGTTACTATCAAACTACCACCCTAGCGCGGGATGTTTATTGACTTCTAAAACTTGCTTAAAAATGAAAATTCCGATTGGTACGTAGTACCATAGTGTAATAAATAACATTATTATATTATTTATTATTACTATTGTTATCTAACTATTACTATTGTTACTACTATTATTTATTATTACTATGTTATTTATTATTATTAGTTATTAATTAAAGTACGTACTCTCAGCAGCCCTAAGACTGATTTAGAATCACACATCTTATCTTTATCCGCAGCCGCTAGCTATCTCCTCATCCGAGTCACTCAGCGCCAGCATGGAGAGGATGGTCGTGAGAGATGGAGAAGGTGGAATAAGTACCTCTGCAGAAACAGCTGACGACGACGACGAAGATGATGACGACAGCGGCGAGGCAGCCACGTCCACCGGCTCTGCGGCAGCCGAGGACCTAACCGAGGCCGAGTCTCCTTCAGAAGCTGGCACTACCATCGACACAGAAGATGGAAGCGCTGAAATGGAGTCCAAACGTCCTCGCCGCCGTAGGAAGGGCGGCCGGGTCGGCTGCGCTGCCCAGGACGGCGGCAGGCGCAGGAGGAGGAAGCGCCCGGCTCAGGCGGAACCTGAAGAAGGCGAGGAGGACACCGTGGTGGCGGCCCCCGAGGGAGACGAGCCGACTGCGACTGCCCTTTAGTGTTGATTAGGCTGTTCGAGCCGAACCGAGATTCTGCTTGGTCCAAGGTTGCATTTTGGTGCACTTTCCTGGACTGGCAGGACTCTCATCCGTCGATGAATTCACTCTTTATGCCGAAACAGGACAATGACTTTGATCGACAACTGACTTTGACTTCGGGCCGTCTGTGTCTGTTTGTGTCGTAGTCAGTGCAACTGCACCAGCAAATACCACTGGGCGTTCAAATAAATTCAGACACCTGTGAGCACGGGTTTTTCCTCACATTCGGCTGTGACACCGCACACCATAATAATCCATTGTGCAGTTATTGCGAATCGTGCAATGCAAAATATAAATTGATATGCTTATCAATGGTAACCGTGTTTGTTTTATGAGGAGATGCACAATAAAGACCATGCAAACACTAAACAGCATTTCTTGAATTGTAATTTGTAGGTACTGCCAGTGGCGGATCCAGGGGGGGGGGGGGCAAAATGGGCATTTGCCCCCCCAAACGGCATGATTTTAACATTACGCCTATGGACGATGCATGGAAAGAATCGATAATTTTTATGGTTTGCCCCCCCCCCCCCCAAAAAAAAAACTCTGAGCTGGATCCGCCTCTGGGTACTGCTCGAGTGTCATCCACAATATGTTCGGCGAAATTTGACGGCTTACGCTCTTCGCCTGTCGCCAAAAGTTATACAAGGAACTGTAGTAGTCGCTATATGTATGATTTACCCGCGCCACGCTTGGCTTTTCAAAAGTAGACTCCCGCCGCTGGGGGACAGATTCTGAAGTCCTTCTTCCTTCCGAAAGGATAGTCGTAGAAAGACGGGGAAAACAGCAATCGAAAACTCGCAACAAGACAAACCCTTGGAGTACAATTTTTGAAAGTAGGTCACAGGTCGGTTCAAGGTCAGGCCAAGGGAAAAATTGCATTTTTCCCTCTGGAACTCTTCTAGATCACTGGCTTTGGAGCCCAGCTGGCGAGAAATGGGCTGAGATTGATCACCCTAAACGCTTTCTTAGGCTTCCAAGACAATATGTGTTGGATAAGATGCCATGTGTAAAGGTCAAGGTCAAGGTAAAGTCAGGTCATCAAGTACGAAATGCAGAATAGGATTTATGCGACACATGTTTTCTGCGTCATTTTAGTTTGCTAATTGCTAATAAAACTCGATGGGCATACGCAATTAGTAATATTGACCATATTTAGATGAAGTTCATGTCGAGGTCAGGTCAGGATAGGATTAAATGAGGTCAAATTTAGAAGTTGATTCTTTAGACCCAAAAAGGTGTCTATCTGAAACAATATGTCACGACAAATATCGGTATAGGTAGGGGAGAGTGGGGTAATTTGGCCGCTTTTTTTAGAAAACGATGTAACTAAAAATCGACAACACATTTCTGCATTTTCTCAACGCTGACAGGTGTGGCATACATTTTACTTTCTTTGACAGTACACTTGAAATGATTAACTACTTAAATTGAAATTGTGGCGTATTACAAAGGTCTGCAAAGCGGCCAAATTGCCCCACTAGCAGGGTTATTTGGCCGGGGGTGTGGGGCAATTTGGCCGGTGTTAGTTTGAGGCCATGATTTTTGTTATAGGTGAGTCAGCTTCACATTCAGCAATGACGCGTGTCCTACGACGCATTTGAAGCATTTTGGAGGTTGGCTCGGCCGTCACAGGGGTCGAAAATAGTCAAAATAGCGGCTCTAGATGCGATGACAGTTTTTTACGAACAACTTTTGAAGTAATCAAGCTAGGCCAAAACTTAAAGTACCACGTAATTCTCCCGTCATTCCGCATCGAAACATGTATGTGTTGACCTCGAGAGGTCAAGGTCAAAGGTTGGCTTCAGGTCACGTTACCTCAGGTCGCTTGACCTCAAGGTTACGTGAGTTCAAGGTCATTATGTATATCATTCGATGCGCCTTGACGAGCTGAACACAATGAGACCATTTGCACGGCTGTATCTTTTTTCTGTAAGTATTTATTAGCCAAAAGGCGTTAGGTAACCTTTGATGACGTCACATGCCCTTACAGCTGTCCAGTAGGGAATATGGCATCAAGGTAGTCAAAGTTGGTCATGAATTATGTCCTTTATGGTATAATTGACCATGACAACTCGGCCGTCCCAGCATAGTGACTCTGAGTGCACCGGCCAAGTTGCCCCGCTAGTCCCGGCCAAATAACCCCACATTGCCATTCTGAAACTTTTTGTCTATAAAGTCGTCATGGCTGTACAGAACTAGATGAAATTGCTCTTGGAACCGCTGAACACCCAAAAAATAGCGCTATAATGTTGGAATTCGTTTACAGCCCAAATACTACCTACATGTTATACAAATTTTTAAACGGAAATAAAAGTTACCATTTTCTAACGTAATTAACCTTTTATTAATTTTTAATAAAACTATAGGGGGGAAAGTTTTGACATTTGTTCTCGAGTTAGTTCTGCTGATGACAAATGAATAGAGACTAAAGTTATTTCATTCACTTTTATCAGCTTTCGTACAGGTGGGGGCGGCCAATTTACACCACCGGCCAAATTACCCCACTCTCCCCTACACCAAGAAGCAAGGCCCTATATACCCCCTAAGAAGTTGGTATCCGAGTGGCATTTCTAGCTGTAAGGTTTGTCGTTGCAGCCTGAGTTCGCGACCGTTGCTTGTATCGGACGCAGTGCGAACGCCGAACATGGTGATGCTGTAAGGTTTTCCACGGTCGTCAATGGCGCCGACTAGACAATACGTGTACAAATGAACGGGTTTATGGATGCGGCTACCATGAGGAGGAAGACCCCTGCAACAGAGCGGTCAGGTGCCATTTGAAATGTTTATCGCTGAGTTTATCGCTGTGTCAGTCACGGGACCGGGCCGTGTCCCGTATCGCCGGATGCGGCGCCGTCTGATAGAGGCCAGTCGCACCGAGCTCTGCAGACGTCCTGCCAGCTCCGAGCCGTCAGTCCGAGCTCGGCAGTCGGCGCTGGAGGTTTGCTTTCTCTGCACCAGTGTCAACATGTCGGCCCTCAGCGGCAGAGTGGCGACGCTCCTAGCTTTGAACACGCTGATCGTGACGGCTGGCTGTGCCGAGGGCAAGTCTATACCGTTGCCAAAGTTCATAAAGCTGGCGGTGCACTCTGAGCTGCAGCCAATCATCAGCCTACTGCAGTCGGGACAAGAACAGCTGGAGAGCAGGCTAGAGTCGAGGACGGAGGCTCTGGAGCGCGGAATGGAGTCACGCTTGGAGTCCATCGAAGACAGGCTGACTCTGCTCAACTCCCGAATGGAGGAGCTGACCGGCCGACTGGACGGCCAGCAGACTCAGCTAGACGAGGTCATCACACAGCTGAACGGCCAGAACTCCCAGCACGACGAGAACACTGTCACAGGGAACGAGCACACAGAACGACTGAGCGCGCAAACAAAGAGCCAGACCGAAACCAAAGAGCAGGGCAGGGAAGGATAGGGCACGGTAAAGGAAACGAAAAGAAAGAAAGGTTGGCGCCACAGTCGTCGCGTCAACAATTGGGACTTGACACACACATCAGATTCCCCTTGGGGGGGAATTTACGCGAGGCGGAGGGGGCGGCGGGCCGGGGGCGGGGAGAGACGGGACACCGCGCGACGGCAAGGTACCGCCGTGTGCGGCAACGGGGGGGGGGGGGGCTGAGACCAGACATGAGCCGACTCACCGACCTCTCCAGTGACCTGACCCGGACCCACCGACCTTTACAGTGACCTCACCCGGACCCACCGGCCTCTCAAGTGAGCTGACTCGGACCCACCGACGCCCACTCCATACTGCGCCGCTCGGCCGAGCAGATAGCTGTTCCGCCCCGCCCCCCTCCCCGGACCGTCGTCGGGTCCACCGCACCATGCTGCCTGCGGCTCTGGGACTCGGCGGTGTTGTCCCGGCTATCTGACGTCCTTCCTGTCGGGCCGCAGCTGCAGCGGCGCGGTCACCGTCCCTGTGCGGAGCTCGGCGGTTGGTGTCAGCCCGCTGTCGGTCAGCAGCCCGTCCGTCCCTGTGTGGTGACTCTGTCCTGGTGAGACGGTGACCGGCGGACTCACCGTGTGTCCCCGTACTGAACGGGCATCCCCATAGACAGACTGACCGGCTACAGGCACAGTCTCACGGTTGGTTGCGGACCGGATCCAGGCCGCGGGCCGTAGGTTGCCGAGCCCTGTTTTAGAGGGTGCAAAAAGGTAAACATAGCCTGCCAGATGCCAGTGCCTTCATGTTTAATAAGGCCTGGTTGTTGTTGCTTTTGCATGACTGACGCATTAGTCCGTCAGAAGTTGTGACTTATTACAGTTTGACATGTTGTTTCCATAGGTACGTACCTATCCATTAGCCATTCGCGCTAAGGTTATGCTTGCTTTATCTTTTGACACATTTGCTCCACATACTATGACGTTATGGGCGCAAAATGACCCCAGTAGTCGGCGCGCCGTAAAGCTCCAATAAACAAACAACAACAAGGTTGTTGTTTGTTTCCCGGACGCACTGAAAATTGCAGTGGTAAAACCAATTTATAAAGCTGGGGATAAAACATCATTTAGTAACTATAGGCCTATAAGCATTCTACCATACCTATCTAAGATACTTGAAAAGATTATTCACGAAAGAACGACAAGATATCTACTTGATGCCCTTATTCTTAATCCATCTCAATTCGGGTTTCAAAAGAAAAAATCTACCTACATGCCCTTACTTTTGCTCCAAGATTACATCACTACCTCACTGGAAGCAGGCAAAATCATCTGTGGTATTTATCTGGATTTAAAGAAAGCCTTCGATACTGTCGATCATTCCATCTTGCTAAAAAAACTACATATCTATGGGTTTACTGGTCCACCATTACATCTCATTAAATCATACCTGACAAAAAGATTACAATGTGTGGAGTACCGTGAAATAAAATCTGAACTAAAAGAAATAAGTATTGGGGTTCCTCAAGGCTCTATATTAGGCCCGCTATTATTTCTTCTCTATATAAATGACTTACCAAACATAGCTAATAAGACATATATAAAATTTCTCCTTTATGCCGATGATACCGCAATCTTCTTCGAAGCCACAAACTTAAAAAGTCTGGAAAATATCATTAGATATGAATCTAAATTTGTCTGTTCCTGGCTACAAATGAATAAGCTTACCCTCAACACTCAAAAGACAGTATATCAAGTATACAGTAATGCCAACCAAGAATTTGAACTAGACATAAAATTTAATAATGACTGTATCAAAAAGGCAGACGCAGTTAAGTATTTGGGAGTATACATTGATCCAAAATTAAAGTGGTCAGTCCATATCGATTATCTTGCTTTGGCCATAAGCCGCAACATAGGAATCATAAACAGAATTAAATACTTATTGGACAGGAAATCACTTCTTTTGCTCTACAACTCATTAGTATTGCCCTACATAAACTACTGCACTGTCGTATGGGGCTTCACTTTTCCAACTTACCTAAACAAAATTGAAATCCTTCAAAAACGTATTATCAGAATCATTGATAATCAGCCTAGACTTGCTCATTCGGATCCCATTTTCAAAGCCCTAAACCTGCTAAAAGTAAAAGATATTGCTAAACAACAGCTTCTTCTAATTATGCATCGAAAGTTAAATGGATCTTTACCACCATCTCTTGAAACTCTTTTCTGTTTGCAGGCTGACCAAAACATCCAAACAAGAACTACGCACCACTTCCGAGAAACATTCACACGAAAATTATATCGCACAAAAACTGCCTTCTGGCAAGGTCCTCGACTTTGGAACAGCATTGTAGCACCCCACTTTTTGTTGTCAGAAATTCCTGAACTGTCGAAAGAAACTATTAAAAAACATACAAAAACGCAACTCATCCTCAATTATACATAGCACTGCACAGATGTACAAGGCCCTTTCATGTCAGTCTATTAAAATTTACATATTTTAACATTGATAAGTCCCTTTTAACAACAACACACAGTTAGAACAATATACCATGATACACCTTTTGCCACATCCATATGCTGTGACCTGGGGACTCGACCAGCAACAAGCTTTGCTTAGCTGGCCGAGATTCCCAGGTCACACCATAATATCACACTAATGCATGACCAGCCTTATTTTCAACTGCATGAATGAGACCCCTCTAACCCAATGTATAAATGAAAAGTATGAGTGTTCTTTTCGGGATCGTAGTGGGAGGTTCAGTCAATGACTCATTAGTCCATTGACTTCTTTCCGCCTTCTTCTTACACCATACTAACATCCCTGGCCCCTCTTTTGTGCTTATATTTGGTTTATTTCCACCTCTTAGCAGGGAGTGCCGCGACATTTATCTCCTCAGTTTTTCTGGTGTTAACGTAAGGGCTCTGTTGTCGCTGGGTTCGAGGGCGGGGGCACTCCTGGTCACCTGTTCATGGGTGGCGGTGTATTTCTTAAAAAAAAAGGTTATGTCATCTTCACTGAGCAGTACCTACACTGATGGGAAGTGGCTGCTACTATATGTCATAAATATGCGTAAGGGTTTGCTCACCTACCCTGGGCATCCTAGGCAGTTCTCCCCTATGCACCAAACTGTATGCTGGATTCAGCAAAGTGTTTTAGGGAGGGTTTACACTAGAGATGTCAATCGGATACCAACTTTTTGGTATACCGATACCAAACCGATACCAAATTGGTATTTGGTTACGGAGCGAGCGAAGCGAGCGGAGTCTTACGTAGAATAACGGAAATTTCTGAGTATGAGCGCCGGCCGTGGTCACGATTCTGCGACGCTTATATCTCAGCAACCACTTGACCGATTTACACGCGGTAATTTTTGTAGGGTAGCTTCATTCTTTCTACCAAGTATTGGACTATTCCAGATGCATGTGGGTGACCCCTTATGCACGTGCCACGTGCATAACGAAGAGGTGTCACTTTTGTAATAGTTGCAATATCTCGGTAACTACTGGGCCGATTGCGCTGAAAGTTGGCATGTAGGTAAGCACCCACTAGCCCTCGCCCGCACATGCCATTTTCCCATCCTAGAACGCACATGGGGGGGGGGGTTGCCACCCCCCGCGCCATTTCGTTCCTGTTGGAGATAGAGCTTAGCGGTAAAGACCAAAAAGATTCTTTGGGAAGAGACAAATCCAATGATACCCAGTTTTACCTTCTCAGGTCAGTCATTGACCTTCCAGGTCAGGTCAAACTAAAAAATGTTGCTGTTTTGGGTCAGCGTTGGATATCAAGTGCGCTGCTTATCAAATACCGATGACGATGCTGTTTTCTGGTGCCAAGCCAGCTAGAACCTCTTTGTCATACTACCCGACCAGAATTTTGCTGCTGAGGTCATTTCAGGTCAAGTTAGGTCAAGGTCAATTATATGTGTTTGTATGTCTGTGTGTGTTTGTGTGTATACTGATGTGTGTACCGATTGTTTTTGGGTCCATATTACATGAAATCATGATCTGAGAAGCTTTTACCAAAAATGCAGTCAAAAAACTTCACAAAAAGTAAATTCGGCTTGCCTTAAAACCCTCGAACGCACATGGGGGGGGGGGGTTGCCACCCCCCCCCCCCGGTAGTCTTTCTGCTCTGCACTCAACATTTTTAGAGCTAGAAGGCTGATTTTTCGTATAGCTGCTTCTCTATCCTTTTTTGATGTCCACTGAAAATTTCAAGTTTCTGTGGTTTTTGGTTTCGGAGATATGACCTTGTTTTTCAGGTCATGTCATGACCCAAATGGCCAATTCTCAACATCTTGCGTTGGCTATGGGCCTTGTGAGCTTCTGACACCTTGATTTCGGCCTTTTTTGCCAGTCTTACCTCCCACCTATCATGGAACATGTTGTTCGACGATGTACAGATGTCAAGGTCAAGGTCAAGGTCAACCTAGGTCATCTAAGATAATTGCGTTTTAGGCAAGCGGAATTTACTTTTTGTGAATTTTTTTACTGCATTTTTGGTAAAAGCTTCTCAGATCATTATTTCATGTAATATGGACACATAAACAATCGGTGCACACATCAGTATACACACAGACACACACAGACATACAAACACATATAATTGACCTTGACCTAACTTGACCTGAAATGACCTCAGCAGCAAAAACCTGGTCGGGTAGTGTGACAAAGTGGTTCTAGCTGGCTTGGCACCAGAAAACGGCATCGTCATCGGTATATGATAAGCAGCGCACTTGATATCCAGCGGTGACCCAAAACAGCAACATTTTTAGTTTGACCTGAGCTGGAAGGTCAATGACTGACCTGAGAAGGTAAAACTGGGTATCATTGGATTCGTCTCTTCCCAAAGAATCTTTTTGGTCTTTACCGCTAAGCTCTATCTCCAACAGGAACGAAATGGCGCGGGGGGTGGCACCCCCCCCCCCCCATGTGCGTTCTAGGATGGGAAAATGGCATGTGCGGGCGAGGGTTAAACGCAATTATCTTAGATGACCTAGGTTGACCTTGACCCTGACCTTGACCCCTGTACATCGTCGAACAACATGTTCCATGATAGGTGGGAGGTAAGACTGGCAAAAAAGGCCGAAATCAGGGTGTCAAAAGCTCACAAGGCCCATGGTAAACGCAAGATGTTGAGAATTGGCCATTTGGGTCATGACATGACCTGAAAAACACGGTCATATCTCCGAAACCAAAAATCACAGAAACTTGAAATTTTCAGTGGACATCAAGAAAGGATACAGGAGCAGCTATACGAAAAATCAGCTTTCTAACTCTAAAATGTTGAGTGCAGAGCAGAAAGACTACCTGGGGGGTTGGCAAGCCCCCCCCCCCCATGTGCGGGCGAGGGCTAGGCAATGCATATCCATGTGCCAGAGTTGGGGTGCTGCTGCACGTGCGCACGTGCAGGGGTCGATTCCAGACCTCGAGAAAGGCTCGACCGATTGCGCTCAAATTTGGTACACGGTTACGGAGCAGTTAGTAGGGTGCCGTGCACAAGTCAGTTGGGACCCATTTTGCACGTGCGCACGTGCAGGGTGCCGCTTCCAGATCTCGAGAACGGCTGAGCCGATTGTGCTCAAATTTGGCACATCGCTAGAGACCGGTTAGTAGGGTGCCGTGCCGTGCACAAGTCAGTTGGAGGTACCCCCTCGCAATTTCGCACGTGCAAGGCCCACCCTCTCGCTCGCTCCGTTATTCGCCCCAAAAGGCGTTATACTGGTATTTCAATCGTAATGTGTTTGGTATTTTGTTGGTATCATAAACCCTCACTAATGGCTAAGAAATCGGTAATAAGTTGGTATTTCCATAATTTTCCCAAGTTGGTTTGGTTTCGGTATTTTCCCGTGGTTTTGGTTGGTATTTGGTTTGGTATCGGTATTCCGATTTTCCGTAATTGACATCACTAGCTTACACTTGATGTTTGTTTCAGGTACTCTCAACAAGATGGATGATGTAATAATAATAAGTGATGATGACTATACTCCTCCTGCTGCTCAGCAACACAGAAAAGCCACATCAGACAGCAAGATAGACCAGACTGCTGGCTGCTCGCTGGCTGCCGGGCTCGGCGGGACCAAAGCCGTCTGCAGGCGGGGCGATGACGCGGAACCGCCCGAGCTCCGTGATCGTCACTTGTCGACCGGAAACTGCTCCAAGTCGGTCGCAGATGACCGGCCTGCCCGCTCCAGACGGCCGGCTGGTGCTATTGGCGGCGAGGAGGCCAACCCGGAGCCCAAGTGTGCCCGCTTGGACTCCCGGTGTCGCGGTGACCAGAAAACAGAAGAGACATCAGAGTCGAAACCGGAACCGGAACCGGAGCAGAAACCAGAACCGGACCCATGTAAAGATGGTCTGGAGGAGGTGTGCGCTCTGCTAAAGCCGCTGCTGTCCGGGCCCGAGCTGAAGATAGAGGCGAAGGTGCGGCGCCGCCACGCTGCCGTGCTGGCGGTGACCAGCGGTCATCCCGGGCGAGTCCAGCACCTGATTGGAGTGACGCGTCAGTGTGCCGAACGGCTACGTGCAGAGCCGGACCGCTGCTTCACCGTGGTGCGCGGCTTCCTAGAGCAGCTCGACCAGTTCAAGATCGTGGCATATTCGGCGCAGAGCTGCTCCGCGCCGCGAGTGGCGCTAAAAGCAAACGCCGCCGCTGACAACACTGAAACAGCAGCGACGGATAATGTCGCAAGAGCAGCAGACAAAGTTGACAAATCGAAGAAAGCTAATTTAAATGACGCACCAAAGGCATCACCCTCTCCCTTTGCAACGGTGGACGGCTCAGCAGCGCCTTCTGAGCAGAACGAGAGGGAAAAACGTCGACATCGACGTCACGTGGCCAAGTTAGAGAAGACGCTGCGCCGGCTGGAGCGCGAAATCGTGCGTCAGGATAAGCTGGAGGTGGACTGGGATGACGCCGCCTGCTCGGCTTACATCGTGGGTGCCCGCCTAAAGCGGCGCTACGTGCGGGTGTATCGCTACTACTGCCGGCTGGTGGGCGCCACCGAGGAGGCTGAGAAACTCGACTGGCAGCCAATCCGCTTCCACGGCACCGGCTACTCGCAGATCAACCGGCGCATCGAGAAGTTCGTCAACCGCAATCGCGAGTTCCCCGACTTCACGGACGTGCTGAGCCTGATCAAGCAGGCCAACCAGCACTGTCGGCTGCATCTGGGCCCGACGGCGCTGCACGACCAGGCCGAGAGGGCGTTCCTGCAGATCGGGACGCTGCTACAGAAGCAGCGCCGCGTTGCGCTCGCCGAGTCCATGGATGCGCTGACGGGCACTGAAGACTGGCGTGGTTGCGATCCGTCGGCGACCGACCCGATTCTGGCCGAGAAGCTAGCTCAGAGCGCCGCCGAGGGCTCCAAGAGGCTCAATGAGAAGTTTAGTGACTTTGTACAGCGTCAGGAGTCGATGGCTGCTGAGCGGCGGATGAAGCGCGCCGAGTCGGACAAGGACGAAGACGGGAGGGAGGAGGAAGAGAACGAGGACGAGGATGAGGATCAGGAGGACGATGACACGGAGGAGTCTGAGGTGACGGACGAGGAGCTGGAGGCGAACCGCGAGGAGCCGGCTGGCGCCAATACCTTCGGGCTGGATTATAGTGATCAGGAGGGCGTCCCGATGGGCTAGAGTTGTCCGAAACAGTGGCTGTAATGGCGGCAAGAGATGGAAGCAGTGGATGGACCTGGAAATGGAGTGATGATTAACAGTTGGGAAAGACGAGTGATGCGCCTGATTCGCGTAGCGCGGTAAAGGTCGAAAATAGCGCAAAATCTGAGGCGATTGCTGATCTAGTGACTTGTCTTCAGAGTGCAGTGAGGACATGGCTCCCGAATTCAAGAAAGTTGAACTGCCTGCTGAGTCGCTGGACTTTGATACCAGGTCAGGTCACAGAGGTCAGGTCACTGGGGGATCACAATATGAAAGTGTCGTGTGATACATGTTTTATGGTCTATTTTACATGACAAATGCGATTATGTGGGTCAGGCAGCCTTTGGAGCCAGCTTAGGTCACGTTTTGGTATATAGCATTTTGCTATATTAAAAATTGCATTACTTTATGCTAGGGCTGTCATAATATGATGTGACCCTAAGCTTTAAAAATCACAGGATGATTATATAGGACTATTTTTAACCCGCGCCCCGTAGGGCTATCGGCGGACCCTACCGCCCGTAGGGGAGGGGCCGTTTCGCCCCCCCCCCCTAAGATCTCGGAAATTTACCGGCCGATTTTCAAAATTCAAACGGTGTTCGATAGCCCCACCGGGGAACTACCTTGTGACCAAATTTCATTGACCTAGGTCAAACCGATATTCGCGAAAAACTACAAGTAGGGGGGGGGGGTGTTCTAACACCCCCCCCCTCCCCAGCAGGGCGCGGGATAAAGCATAAAACTGAAGCGGGACACGAAAAAAATGACACGGGAATGGGACGCGGGAACGGAACACAATAACCGGACAATTTGTGAACAAAAACACAATAAGCAGATTCCGCTGGTGTACTCACGCCCGCTGGTGGTTGGCTTGCTCCTGAGGCCGGCGGTGCTGGTGGCGGTGCTGATAATGCAGGCAGGGGATCTGAAATAGATAAATATTTAGCACTTGCGCCATTTGTGGGTATACATCGTAACTCGTAGTTTTTTTTTTGTTTTTTTTTTATGACATGAAAACTGGCCTAGGTATCGCTTGCAAGATTCTTCACAATATTTCTAAGATGAAGGTAGATATATACTAACACTAAGCATACACAAAGCTCTTTGATATTACTATATCCTTTATCAATGTATTGATAACACATACACAATTCATGCGTGCCTTTTCACTGTCAATACAATACAGAAACACTCACGGAGGCTGGTGCTGGTGATTCCGGAGCCGGTGGTGCTGGTGCTGGTGCTGGTGATGGCTGGTGGTGATGGTGGACCTAAAATAGATGGTAATTTTCATCAATACTTGATCATATTTTTAACCCGCGCACCGACGGGGGTCTGCGCCAACTTCGCACCGAGCGACGGGGGGGGGGGGGGCGGATGACCGCCCCCCCCCCTGAGATCTCGAGAACGAAGCAAGATAGCGACAAGCGGTAAACGGCATCGGATACGCACGGACAAGGTCTGCAATTTTTACCGAGGTCATTTTCAGGTCAGGTCAAAGATGACGTCACAGGGGTCGAAAAAGTCAAAATGGCGGCGCTAGATATGGAGATAGTTTTTCTCGAATAACTTTCGAATTAGTCAAGATAGGAACAAACTAAGGGCATCATCGTGATCCTCTCGTCAATCCGCATCGAATGATATATGAGTTGACCTCGAAAGGTCAAGGTCAGAGGTTGGCCTCAGGTCACGTGACCTCGAGGTCATCATGTATATCTTCGATGCGTCTTGACGAGCTGAACACAATGAGACCATCCGCGCGGCTGTATCTTGTTCCTGTACGGAGTTATTGGCAAAAAACCGCTGGTGACCTTTGATGACGTCACATGACCTTACAGCTGCCCAACAGCAAAACAGACCTCAAGGTAGTGAAGGTTGATCGTATATGAAGTCATGTATGGTATATGGGGCCATTCCGACCCGTTTTAGTGGTAAAAACAGGGAGTTTATTTTTCCCCCGTTGACTTATAATGGGGAGGTCGCGAAATTGACCTGACCTTAGGTCACCGACATCAAAATTCCGAGATATACAAATTGTAGCTACTAATGACCTTATAACATCCTGCGACTTTCAAAGGCCTCCGACATCTACTGTAGCTCTGGCACGGTGACAAAGTTGCAAAAAAGTGACTTGAGGTTGGGTCATTCAAAGTGACCTGGTGACCTGACCTTGAAAGTTAGGAGGTTCAAACTTGCACACCATGTGCAAAATTGATGAGAGAATAGTCGTACCAAGTTTCGTGGCGCTACGCGCCGCGGTTTTCCCGCTATTTGCGAAAAACCTCAGGAGGGCGGATCAAACCTGTGACGTCATCGGTTTGACCCAGGTCAATGAAATTTGGTCACAAGGTAGTTCCCGGGTGAGGCTATCGAACGCCGTTTGAATTTTGAAAATCAGCCGATAACTTTCCGAGATCTTAGGGGGGGCCGAAACGACCCCCCCCCCCTACGGGTGGTAGGGTCCGCCGGTAGCCCTACGGGGCGCGGGTTAACCCGCGCCCCACTGGGGTCTGCGTATAACACGCCCTACTGGGGGGAGGGGCTATTCATAGCCCCCTCTTAACTCCGAAACTACTGGGCCGATCGTCAAATTCAAATGGCTTCTGATAGCCCCGGAAAAACTGTTAGGTGGAACCTAATTTCATTGACCTCGAGGTCACTGATGACGTCACAGGTCAGATAAAAGTAAAAGTTATCGATATTTGGCTTGTTCATGTTTTGGGCTCTGGCTGCCGTCTTACACGTCAGATCAGGCTGATTTTTTGTTCAAACACTCGTGAACAGATGCTTTAGATATCCTGAGGATACCAAACTTGTACTTTGATTTTCAGGTCAGGGTCAGGTCATCATAGGTCACGGAAACCTTTGTCATAAGTCGGTCACGTGACACATGTTTTATGGTCCATTTAGGCCATATATTTCAAATTCGGTGTTGCCTGTGTCATTTGAGGCCATTTTCATCTGAATATAGCTGAGGTCAGGTCACTCAGGTCACTCAGGTAAAAAAAGGTCAAATTTCAAAATTGAAATTTTTGAATAAAACGTATGTCTATCGGATGCAGTTTGAGCTCAGAAACACGATGGTGCTATTTATATTGATGCACGATGTCAGATACGTACAGAAAAATTGATTTGAAAAAAAATGTGATCTTTTTTGCTATAATGCGTATAACTTGGCCATTTTTGAAGATATCTGGCTAAAACTTGCTAGAGTAAGTCATTAGCATGTGTTCTATTATATATTCGCTTTTTCGAAAAGTCAAAAAGTTTTTGAAAATAAATATAAAATATAAGTTTTGAATTTTAATATTATTAATTTTCGAAATTTTCAAAATTTAGCAAATTCGAGATAGCAGTTTGATAGCACAGTTCATTATAAGTCCTCCCATGCAAAGAAATTGGATCTAGCTAAAAAATTGAGCTCTTGGGAGTCATTCCCGTGGTTCAATGTTTTGCGTCGAAATTGGCCGAACATGACGTCACTCTGACGTCATTTCCGGCCGACCTATCATAGATACGAAGTTCACATTTTGACCCAAGGTGTCAAATTGATGCAGCCGAAAGTACTAAAAGTTTGGCGGCGATATGTCAAGCGGTTTAGAAGTTATTGCAGAAAAACGGGAGGGGGGCTATGAATAGCCCCCCCCCCCTGGGGCGCGGGTTAAAACACTGAAATAAATTCATAAAATGAAGATATTTGCTGTACAAGAAATGAGGTGCAGATTTGGTCAAAATAGGTGCATTCGCCGGATAGCCCGTCGTGAAAACGGCTTATATTGACCATATTTAGATGAAGTTCATGTCGAGCTCAGGTCAGGATAGGATTAACCCGCGCCCCGCTGAGGTCTGCCGACCAACGCGCCCTGCTGGGGGGGGGGCAACTTGCCCCCCCCCTAAGATCTCGAGAACCACGCAACATAGCGACAAGCGGCAAACGGTGTTGCATAGCCCCATCAGGGAACTACCTTGTGACCCAATTTCGTTGACCTAGGTAAAACCGATGACCTCACAGGTCAGGTCAAAGGTCGAATTTTCACCGTTTACAGGCATTTCAAGAAATGCGATAGGCGTTATCACAAGTGTATTCGCGGCCATTGGGGCGACGTAAGAAAAGAAGAAAACAACTGGCCCCAAGAACTTTAAATTATCAGTTAGCATGCACATTTTCCTTGATATGTAGAGAATTTACCATTAATTGTTAGAGAAAATTGCATTTAAAATCTTCCATTTATGCTTTTTTCATCGTTTGCACAGTATGTTCTTTTACTAAGCTAGAAACACTTATTAGAAATAGTTCCCGCATCATCAAGAACAATAGGGAAGGCTTGAAGTGAATACAATAATCTAAACGGCTTTGTAATCCATGTGAAGACACTTCTAAAATTGCCTGTAGAAATATTAAAGGCATAAGTTCAACTTTTTCACAAGACGGATGGCTATAAACCTATTCAGCGTGTGACAACTCAGCCGGTATTTCGTCGCCTACAGCCCAGCTTTCCCTAGTGACCGATAGAGGCGCTGCTATCGATGTCCGCCCGTGCCGCCTAACGGCGTTGTAAAATCGAGTAAAATGCATTTCATTGAAAATCATCGATTGGGAAACGTTCGTCAAACACACATTTTGCTATTTGAAGTCACTGATACCACGTCAGGTCACAGCTCGGTCAGGTCACTGAGGGTCACAATATGAAAATATCATGTGATGCATGTTTATGGTCCATTTTTCATGACAAATACGATTATGTGGGTCAGGCAGCCTTTGGGGTCAGTTTAGATTATGTTCCGGTGAAAGTCAGGGCAAGGTCAGGTCAAGGTCAGGTCAAATTAGGTCAGATTTCAAAGTTGATATTTTTGCATAAAATGGGTATCAATTCGATTCAACTCGTCACGTCACAAGGAGTTCAACGGTGTTTTTTGTTTTGCGCTACGTGGTCTAGAATTGCTAAAAATTGAGTTTAAAAATATGACGTCATCAATTTTGAACAGTTTTTTTTTTCGCTATAACTTGGCCAAAAAAGAAGGTATCGATCTAAAATTTGATATGTATATAGAAGAGCGCAAGGACCATCACATACATACCGGTTTTTTGAAATTCGAAAATTTTTTGGGATTTTTGAGTTTTTCTTAAAAAATCAATTTTTTGATTTTTTGTTCATAATCCAAACATTTTGAAAATCCGAGATAGCTGTATTGTATCGCTGTCTATTGTCTACATGACCATTTAAAGAACTTTGAAATTGCTTGGTAACTGTAGCTTTTGTGAGCGTTTCAAGATTTCATGTTTTTTGCTCATTTTTGTTCGAACATGACCTCAGTTTCACCTCAAAAACTCCTGACCTAAGGTGACCTAAGACTTGAAATTTAATGTAAAGGTGTCAAATTGATGCCCAGAAAGGTACTGAAAATTTGGCGGCGCTGCGCGCCGCCGTTTTCTTGCTATTTAGGAAAAACCACTGGGGGGGGGGGGCAAATTGCCCTCCACGCGGGGCGAGGGTTAAATGAGGTCAAATTTAGAAGTTGATTCTTTAAACCCAAAAAGGTGTCTATCTGAAACAATATTTCACGACAAATATCGGTATATGTACACCAAGAAGTCGGTATCCGAGTGGCATTTCTAGCTGTAAGGTTTGTCGTTGCAGCCTGAGTTCGCGACCGTTGCTTGCGCAGTGCGAACGCCGAACATGCTGATGCTGCAAAAATTCTCCACGGTCGTCAATGGCGCCGACTAGACAATACGTGCACATATGAAGGGGCTAATGGATGTGGCTGCCATGAGGAGGAGAAAGACCCCTGCAACAGAGCGGTCAGGTGCCATTTGAAATGTTTATCGCTGAGTTTATCGCTGTGTCAGTCACGGGACCGGGCCGTGTCCCGTATCGCCGGATGCGGCGCCGTCTGATAGAGGCCAGTCGCACCGAGCTCTGCAGACGTCCTGCCAGCTCCGAGCCGTCAGTCCGAGCTCGGCAGTCGGCGCTGGAGGTTTGCTTTCTCTGCACCAGTGTCAACATGTCGGCCCTCAGCGGCAGAGTGGCGACGTTCCTAGCTTTGAGCACGCTGATCGTGATGGCTGGCTGTGCCGAGGGCAAGTCCATACCGTTGACAAAAATCATAAAGCAGATAAAGCAGGCAGTGCACTCTGAGCTGCAGCCAATCATCAGCCAACTGCAGTCGGGACAAGAACAGCTGGAGATCACGCTGGAGTCGAGGATGGCGACTTTAGAACGCAGAATGGAGTCACAGTTGGAGTCCATCGAGGTTAAGCTGACTCTGCTCGGTTCTCGAGTTGAGGAGCTGACTAGCCGACTGGACGGCCAGCAGACTCAGCTAGACGAGGTCATCACACAGCTGATCGGCCAGAACTCCCAGCACGACGAGAAGACTGTCACAGGGAACGAGCACACAGAACAACTGAGAGCTATCGCCATCACCATGGAAAAATATAATACAGAAATGCGTAAATTGGCTACGAGGCTCGACAGTCAGCAGTCACAGCTGAACAAACTCAGCAGTCTACTCAGCGAACAAAAAACCATGGACGGCGACGTTGCAGTGACTATGAATAACGATACAGTGAAGCAGAAACACCCACGTGATTGCAGCGACCTGCCTGCCGGCTCCCCATCTGGAGTTTACCTCATTCGGCCCGGTGTTGACAGTCAACAACCATACGTCGAAGCGTTCTGCGATATGGAAACTGCCGAAGGGAACTGGACGGTGATCCAGCGGAGAGACGACATCCAACCCCGCCAGAATTTCTTCCTCGGATGGTCGGATTATAAGAAAGGATTCGGAAATGTAACCCAGGAATTCTGGTGGGGCTTGGAAAAGATAAGGCAGCTGACGTCGTCAAAGGACCGACGGTACGAGCTCCGTATTGACCTAGAGGCGTTTAACGGCAGGCAGGCATACGCTTTGTATCAAGGATTCGCCATCTCTTCCGAACTGGATGGCTACAGATCGAGGATTTCCAACTACTCGGGAAATGCCGGGGATGGTCTGCAGTATGGCGTCAATGAGAAGTTCTCGACCTATGACCGTGACCAGGACGGCTCGTCGCACTATAACTGTGCGCAACGCGTCCAGGGGGCCTGGTGGTTTGGCAGGGTGTGCGGATACAGCACCATAAACGGGCCGTACCAGGACAGCCGTAGCAGCGACTGGGCTGGAATATGGTGGGTCATGTGGAGGGGACTGGACTCACCGAAGAAGACCGAGATGAAAATCAGGCCAACATAGGTGATTTACATCAAAGGACATCACAGTGATGTACAGGGTGGGGCAGCATAATCGGGAATGCTTTTTGGGCTCTAATCATGAGTAGGCATGACATTATTTTGATAAATTATAGCATGGCAATGAAACGCCCAAAAGTTGTGCATCATCTAACATGACTACATCCATGAGCATGCAACCTCCTGGAAAAGAGCAGCAAAATAGTTCGACGGTGCTCCAAGTGCTTTGCGCGCGCCCATAGACACTAGAGTTCTGCACGGCTGCAATTTTCCACAGCCTAGCCGCCCCGCAGCCGTGGCTCCACAGCCACAGCCGCCCACAGCCGTGGCAAACTGTGGGCAGCCAGCCGTCAGCCGGCCGTGGATACTTTCAATGAAATGCAACCAAATAGTATATAATAAGTTGTTTTTAGTTGAAACATATAGCCAAAAGCACATTGCAATCGGCTATAGATTCTCAAGCTCATGAAGCATCATAGGTTAAGTGGTTGTGTATCTGGCTTTAGGCCGAAGGCCTGAAGCCTGATGCGCAACGCATGCCTATTGCCTACACAAGCCCTTGCAAGGGGTTAAGAAAGATGGGTAGGTACCTAGGTACCTACAACAACAGAAACAATAAACAACGAACCAGAATAGAAGCACTAGCAGTGTAGACATCTAATGCCAAATCCTGAAGCATGGTTGTGGGACAGAACAACAGACCATGATGCTTTTCATTATCAATGTTAGGTATGGAAAATGAAACTCAAGTTGATGGACTGTCAAACAGAGATTGTCTAGTCAAAACTCTTGCTTCTTTCTTACCTTGCATATTTTCTGGGGTGTGATATGCCAGACTTGAAGCAGCCTTCTGGGCAAGTCTCAAACTAATTTGATATGCAAGGCATCAAAACACTAGTGAGCATCCAAGAAAGAAAAACATTCTTCTATTTTGATTTTTCCAAATAATGATCTTCGCTCAAATCCCCCAAGGACGTGCGAGCCACAATTACCTCTTTTAATCAAAAATTTTACTTGAGTTTTTAATGACGTCAATAGCAAAGAAGTGGCAATAAATTGTTTTGTGTCACTATAAACAGCCATAAAAATTATAATTAATAAATAATAATGCTACGTAGTCAAAAACTTGCTTTCAAATAAAGAGTAAGTATCAAATTTATACATTTTCAGAAGAAGACGTCATTTTATTAGTAAAGTCAACAGCTCGCGTAAGAAATATTGTGTTCAGGGTTTTCACCGTCATGTGAATTACGTGTTCAGGGTTTTCACCATCATGTGAATTAACCGTAAGTAAGGTTCATGTTCACTTATAATCTAATTCCATTGGCTTATTTGATCAGCATTTTCTGTTAGCGGTCACTCACACACCAGTTAGAACATAAAGCGCCAGTTTTATATTATGTAATTGGACTTGCCGAAAATCCAGAAATACATCTAAGAGTTATGTTAGATAATATTTTATGAAGCCTTTACCTGCCTTTACCTAGGCGTGATTTCTTTTTCTATTACCTGAAAGAATTATTGAACGCTCATCTTCAATAGCTGTAAGGTGCTCTCCTAATGACCAGGTGAGATTGATTTGAGAGGGATGTGACAATGCAACATGCTGCATTTTCTGAAACTGTCAAGCTCTTGATGATGAAGGAACAATTGGTACCTATAATTAGTATTCTGTACCAGAGTGCAAACTCCCCTACAACAAATGGTAAAACCATTACAGGTTTTCAAAGGCTTCACCACTTTCAATGTTGCTGGGCATCCTTTGCATGAATTTTACAGGCTAGACTGCTTATCAGAATGTGAGATTAAGGATTTAAAATTTTATATTGGAGTACTTAAGATTGAGCTTGAAATCTCACAGCCGTGGCCACAGCCGTAGCCGTGTTCTTGGAGATATTTGCAGCCGCCCCGGCCCACAGCCGTGGGGCTGCAGCCAGCCGCGGCTGCAGCCGGCCGGTGCAGACCTCTAATAGACACTAATGTTAAACGAGTAAAACGAGAACATTTTGTTGAAACCCCTGCAATTCCACGTAAAGGTTGCTGGACAGGTCAACGTGTTATCACGGACAATAAGGATTGTGTGGGAATACTTAGGACAAAAGGTTAACGTAATCGTCGTAAAAATAACTCTTAGCAGAGGACATACAGATGACTCACTTGAATATAAGGAAGACGCTCTTGAGCATATTAAAAAGAAACAATGTTCAAAACTTCAGCGACCAAAAATCTCACCACCGACTGGAATACGACAAAAAAGAATGGCAAGCCATATAGGGGATTGTATCGAGAATATTCCAGCGGTCATGCCAAGGCCGTATAAGAGAGGTAGAATCATCCCGCGATTTCCAATGGACCGGTCGCTAAGCATTAGCGTGACGTCACTGGTGGAGACCGGGCGGCGCCCGGCTCCAAGCTGTACGTCGGGTACATTTGGCACCGTATAGTTGTTATTACTGAACGTAATGACAACTAATGACTCTTAATAACTTTTTTACTCAACTAAAGCTGATTTCCTTGCCGGTACATTGCCGACCCGAGCCCCAGGGTTGACAATCATGGGATATGGGTCGGATGGGCGACCTCGCGACGGGAGAAGGAACAATTGCAATTGTTGTGCCCGCACCGCCGATTGCATTCTCTATCTGCATCGGGGGGGGGGGGGGGGAGCAGGGGGCACGTGCCCCCATCGGATCAGGGGGCCTCTCGGGCCCGAGGGGCCTTGCGACGCCAATTGGCGGCTGAGGGTCTACGCTGGCATCTTTCGACTCAGAAGGGCCCCACAGGGCTCTGAAGAACACCTTATGTGCTCCGAAGAGCCACACTTCTATCCATAAGAGCCCCACACCGGCTTTTTAGTGTCCCTTGTCGGCCTTTGAGGGCCCCTTGCCGGCTTCTCAGGGCCTATTGGCGACCTCTGAGGGCTACTTGCCGGCCTCTGAGGGCCCTTACCGGCCTATCAGGGACCAGCAGCTCTAAGGGTTCCACAAACGCCTGCGATGACCCCCTAAACCAATGGTTGAAGGCCCCCACAACGGCGCCTGCGAGGGCCCTCACCGGCGGCTGTGAAGGCCTCACACCGGTGCCTAGCTGAGGGCCCCACACTGCCACCTCTGAGTGCGACCGGCACCCTTGAATGAGGTCCCGAAACCAGTGCTTCTTATCGGCGGCTCTGGGGGCTCAACGCCGGAGCCTCTGACGGCCTCAGACGGGACCTGCGCATCGGACGGCCACTCACCGGTGACTTTTGAAGGCCCCACACCGACGACTCTGAGGGCCCCACTGGCGTTTGAATGTATCTTGCTGGTCTCTAAGGACTCCACAGGGCTCCCGAAGGCACCGCAGACCTCTTGAGAGCCCCTGTCGGCCTGTAAAGGGTTCGAGCCAGCAGCTCTAAGGGTCCCGCACCCGACTGGGACAACCCCACACTGCAGTGTCTCTGAGGGCCAACAACGGCAACGGTGAGGACCCTCACCGGCGCCTCTAAGGGCCCACAGTGGCAACTCTGGGGACCCCGCACCAATGCATCTGAGAGCCTCACACCGGTACCTGTGAGGGCCCACACCAGTGCCTCCAAAGGCTTCATAACCGGCGGCCCTGAGGGCCCTACACAGGTGATTTTGAGGGGCCTACCGAAGGCATCACACAATCCCTTAGTCTCGCTGAGCTTCTATCCCAATCCCATACCGGCTTCTATCCCAATTCCGGCTCAACTAATTAGCAGTCCCCCCCCCCATGGGTCAGCAGCGCCGCGCCGGTGCCGGGGGCCAGCGCCATCGGGGCGGCAGTCGGCCACGCGCACTCAATGGTTAGCGCTTAGCACCGACGGCTAGCGCACGTCCGGTGTGTTATCGGCCGTGAGCCGCTCCAAAACGGCTGCAGTAACTAGTCGATATAGGTAGTAAGCAGATGCAGAGATGCAGGTGGATTGATGACCGGCAAGCTTTTGTGTTTTACGAGAGTGAAGGGTCGAAGTCGGCTGCTAAGTGGTGAGCGGATTTTATCAGATGCCGGTTCACCATGACCTTTGTCCGGGTCCTGGTACCCTGACGCACTCTTGGAGAGCCGAATCACAGCAAAAATCCACCCACGACTGTATCTATACGGCTTACGCTTTTCTGAAAACGTCTGCGTTTGGCGTTCTACGGGCCCGGCCGGCCGCACCGGCCCCGATTGGCGGTCCTCCAGTGACGTCACCGGTAGTGTTAAGCTGATTGGCGAATAATACATGGGAAGAACCGGGACGACATCCCCCTGGGTCATGCAAAGTAAACATCCTGTTGGGGTGATGGACCTATGGGTGGTCTTCAAGGGAGGTGCACGTGGTGCACCCTACTTCATCGAGCCCAGATAAAATGAGCACCTCTGGTAAATACATCCGCACTGTGGCAGACTCATGTGGAGCCGTCGGAACAGAGGATCACTGACGGTCCAGATCACGACTTACGAGGACTCTGTCCGTGCTGGTACTGCAGTGAGGACGACATGTTATTGTGTAGGGCACCTCCACCTGAGATGAACCAAAAACTTCTGGTCCTTCAACTCCGCCGATTTAAATCCGACCAAATTCTTTACATGGAGCGTTTTTTGGTAGAAGGTTAATGAACAACTTATCATCAGTAAAGACGGTCTTCAGTGCAAGGTACGATGCTGATGGGCGATCATGGACAAGCAGGAGGTTGCACGTGCATGCGCGTGCTTTTGGACCCGCCTTGAGAAGGTCATCGACGCCGAGGGCGGTCACATAGGATGAGAGATAGGTAAAAGGTGACCAATTGATGGGATGTTGCTAAAATAGTGCTTGGAGCTGTATTTTTAAATTCATGACCAAATAATCCCGTTTGATATTTATTCCCGATTATGCTGCCCCACCCTGTACATATATTGTATTACCGGTGACACACGCACAGTGCGGCAGTCACGATTATTTACAAGTACACTGCACTACCATGTACTGTGAGGGTCAGAATAAGAATGTATTTGTGAATTGTGAGTGTCACTTAACCC